AAGCTAAAGCGCGCTTTGCAGGACATGGAGGCGCCAGCGCGATCACTTGCATTTTATTTTTAATAACAGCGAAAACTTAAAAATATGCCATAATGTTTGCTCATAAAGGTAAGAGTATACATCATTCGGAACTGCAAAGGGTCTACTTGTATTTGTGTGCACTCACAATATCAACAAAACCTTGTGCTTTTGTAAAATAAGGAAAACAAACAGGATGCGCTTTCTGTCCTCTTGGTCTTGCGCAGGAGTGCTTCACCGACATGATATATATATATATATATATATATATATATATATAGAGAGAGAGAGAGAATGCTTTAAATGACTATTTTAAAACAAAATAATTCAAATCGAAAACACAAACTCTTTCATTATGTAATCCGTAAAGATGCATTTCTCTCTAAAGGCACGTCCAATGAGGATGGCTAGTCAGGTTCGTCAAATTGTTTGTTTGTTTTTTGGGCTGATGTGCCAAAATTGTGTTTGCATTCAGTAGCCTATATGGCAGCATTTTTGTTGAGCAAATTTTTTGCATATGGGCCCGGGGCTGACTTGCTACGCCACTGAATAAGACTGATGTACCCGCGTTGTAACACAAATAAATGTAAGGTTTTTGGATTTCCATCCATTGTGTCAGTCTTCTCGCATCACTCTTGTCACGTGACAACCCACGTTTTTTTTTTTGGCTTATAGTATTATTCGGGTCTGCAGAGTTCCCTTTTAGGGGCATCTGTTTCAAGAGGGGAGGTGTTATGGCTCAGTGTGTTCGCTTCCTAATATTTGTCCACTAGGTGGTGATGTTCCGTGGTTTTGTCTCTCCTTCAGAGCAAGCGTCAGGTACAGGTGTGGAGTGTTACCTGTGATTGGCGTTTGGGTTTAAAAGACGGAGATTCAGAGAGCGGTGGTGATGTGGACTGGGCTGCCGTTCATCTTCCCTCTCCAGCCCTGGATTGTTTTCTTTTTGTTTCTTTCTTTATACTCATACTTCACTTTTGTATTATTTGAGTTATTCTTGATTAAATGTTTATTTGTTAAACTTGGTCTTCTGTGTGGCCTCCCCTTTTGGTAGTTACTTCACCCAGAGCCAGGTGGTTGTAACACTATGTCTGCACTGTCTACTTTTTTTTTTTTTCTCTCACTGGAAGCTCCTGCCACCAAGACAAATTCCTTGAGTGTGTAAACACAATCAAAGCTGATTCTGATCTGTTTTTGGAGGAGGCGTGGCTCTGGAGAGTGATTTGCAGGGAGGGTGTGATCTTCTTGCTATTGCTAGCCTCTCTAAAATCGCCTACCCTACCTTTTAACAAATAAATCCGACAATGCACCAGTAATTTAGTGACATCCCCGCAGTTGTGGTGTTGACGGATCTCAAAATAAATTCCAAAGTCCTCTCAGTCTAAGACTGAGACAAGACCAAGACCTTCAAAAAATGGTCTCAAGACCAAAACCTGTACTACAACACTAGAAGAGAATAGAAAGTATTTAAGTATTTAAGAATATTGTTTTGGCCACTAGATGGCCTCAACGTGCACCATATTCCAAAAGTTTCAAGTAATGAACATTTTTAAGATGCAGTTGAGAGGAAAGCATTTGCAAGCAAAATATTTTAAATATTTGCTTTAAAAAAATAAAGCTCCAAGATCTGTCACAGTATTTATGATACCTTTCTTTCTTTCTTTTTTTTTAAATTGTGAAACATTGTCAACAAAGGAAGTGGCCACAATACAAAATATATTACATAAAAATTTTTTAAAGACAGGAATCATCAAATTCAGTCACATATTAAAGTGACTTACAAATTTCAATGGTTTTTAAAGCTGCCTTGTTATATAAGCCAAGAATAGTCCCAAAGAAATGCTATATTTTAGCAAGCAAAATTTGATTTCTGACTCGAGAATGTATCATTTATGTAGCCTATGCAACATTTTGTTATCAAAATAAGATTAAGCGCATTTATGCTATCTATTTCTTGTCTCCTCTTGTAGATCTGATGTCATAAACCAGAACAGCTGCAGTAGCCACACCCACCATAGCAGAGACGACCAATCGGATCACAGCTTCAGCAGAACCACAACAGTGGATGTGGTCTTCTAAAAAAAAAACAAAAAAAAAACGTGAGCAACGATGATTTTTAACAAGCAAACTACAGTATCTGTCAGGAACTAGACAGATGGATAAATGGAAAATGATGAGGGACTTGTTTAAGGCTTACACAGTGTGAAACACCACCAACTTTCATTATATGGAAAAATTATCAGCGCTGCCATACCTGAACATGTGTGACAGAGTTTGCTGATGTTGAGATGTGTGGTCTGGTTGCTGATGGGATTGTTGAGCACACAGCTGTAGGTGTTTTTATCCTGATATTCCACCTCCAGAGGTAGAGAGAGACTGATGCTGAGATCAGACACACTGATGCTGGACAATAAACTGTTTCCTTTGTACCAGGAGAGAGTCACATGACCCACATTCACCACTGAACACAACAATAAACAATATGATGATGATGATGAAGAACAGTTTGTAGAGTTACTGCTGATGACAGGAACAGGCAGACGAGCTGAAAACATGAGAGAATAAAAAGAAACCTGGATGAATCTGAGGTAGTGAGGTCCGCGTAAAACAGCCAGCGTGAGACACTCTGAGCAACCATTCCTAAAGAACGAGTAAATATAAAGTAAAGGGTTAACTAGAATAATCAAGTGTCAGAATAATAATAATTGGACAGAAATGGACAAACAACCAATTTGCATTTCAATCTAAATTCAAGGTCATAATAAAATGTAGTCAGATTAGAATTTATTTTAAATTATACTACGGGGCCGTTGAATGTTTGAATCTGATTGGCTGACGAACGTTAAGGTGTGCAATTATTTTCAGGGAAACGCACGGCGAATGAAGTTCCAGGCAGCTCTTTACCGCATTACATGTCCATATCACTTCGCCAAATTATTTCAGTTATTTCAAAGGTCTTACAAGCAAAATAACCAAAATCCACAACGACACTGGCCAAACAAATAAATATAGTAAGTAATAGGATAAAAACGACAGATCATTTCCATGTTTTGCCACAAAATTACGCTTTATTATGTATGTATATACTCTATTTCTCCCGCTCTCTCTCTCCCTTACAGACGTATATGTATATAATATATGTATATATTATATATATATACATACAGGTCCGGATTTACGCATAGGCATTCTAGGCACGTGCCTATGCTCGCTCGTCCAGGGGGGCCCACACACAATGAAGAGATATATCATATTTTTTGTTATACTATGGGCTATCTACAACAGTAAAAGAACCAAAACACCAGAAGACACTGAGCAAACAAATATAACAAACAATAGGGTAAAAATGACAAACTATTTCCATGTTGTCCCCCTTTTTTATGTACGGAAATCATGCCCAGCAAGCAATAGCCGTCATTTTCAACGTTAAGTACATCTAGCCCAAATAAACTTGAATTTGGTTTCATGCCGTTTTTTGGCAAAATAATTAGTGAGATGTATGATATTCCATCATGTAAGCAAAGTAACAGATTTTTCTTAATAAAAGCTGTATGTATGGATTGCCATTTTGTTGTCTATTAGACGTATAGCTATATGTAGTTGTTTAATAGCGGTCGAATTGATGACTAGTCTATTCTTGGGCTATGGTTAGAGGACTTTGCTTTTTCATTTGAAATTTGGCAGTCACTGCGTTCGCGAAAGCGAAAATGCAAACGGTAATGCAGGATTTGCAATTGCATTTGGATAATGTCACAATTTATGCATCCACATATGGAAAACGCAATTGAAAATACAGTTTGCAATTCCTTTTGTAAATAGTCCGGAATATCCTTCCATACCTCCAGTTAGGAATGCCACATAAATATATAGCTATACAGTAATCAACATTTGAAGTGGAACAAAAAAGTTAATCAAAGTTGTCCTAAGACAAGAACGCATTTTAAGTTTTAGGACAACTTTGAAAAGTTTTGATTCACTTCAAATGTTGACTACTATATATATATATATATGGTAACACTTTACAATAAGGTTAATTATTTAACATTAGTTAACTACTTTAGTTAACATGAACTAAGCATGAACAATACTTCTACAGCATTTATTAATCTTAGTTCATGTTAATTTCAACATTTACTACTGCATTATTAAAATCAAAAGTTGTGCTTGTTAACATTAGTTTATGCACTGTGAACTAACATGAACTAACTATAAACAACTGTATTTTCATTAACTAACATTAACAAAGATTAATAAATACTGTAATAAATGTATTGTTCATTGTTTGTTCATGTTAGTTAATACATTAACTAACATTAACTAATGGAACCTTATTGTAAAGTGTTACCATATATATATAGCCTATATATATATGAAGCACACTACACGCAAATATAATACACGCGTTAACGTTGTTAGCGCTACTCTTGACGATTTTATCAGTAAAATAGTTTAGCAACTTACAAGCTACATGACGTTATTCACAAGCAAGGTAACGGCACTGTACATGAAGAAAATAAACTTAAAGTTTCACTCTTAGTGGACAATGCTGCCAGACACTTCTGAGAGACACGGGAGGTAATTCTCTCTCTCTCGTCTGCTATCAACGGCTCAAGCCTCTGTTACTAGGTCTAAAATGACTTTTTGCAGATGTGCACCAAAAAGGTACTCATGGATACCTTCATTGGGCTGACCTTACAAAGTTTTAAAGAAATCTTAAAGATGATCTAAAAGTTACCCCAAATTAGAATTCCCCCAGTTAATTTTGGCTATTTCCACCACTGCCTGAGACTAATTATTGGCTGACATTGATGGATCCCTAATTTATACCATATTTATGGTATGCCACTTTAGATGAAGATTTTGCAGACAAAAGATTTGACTACATTTTACTATATAGTTACCTGGACATGGTTGACAGAATTGAGTAATGTTGAGGTGTTGGTTAGTGAATGAATTGTTGAGCACACAGCTGTAGGTGTTTTTATCCTGATATTCCACCTCCAGAGGTAGAGAGAGACTGATGCTGAGATCAGACACACTGATGCTGGACAATAAACTGTTTCCTTTGTACCAGGAGAGAGTCACATGACTCACATTCACCACTGAACACACCAATGAACAATATGATGATGATGATGAACATTGTGAAGAGTTACTGCTGATGACAGGAACAGGCAGACGAGCTGAAAATATGTGACAATAGAGAGAATTACGAAAATGTTTAATAATTTGATCATGTAGAAGTTAAATTTGTCTTGAACTTTTGCCATATAAGAGGTTTTTGTACCATTAAAACATCCAACAATTTCATAGCTTAACGGGGTCCTATTATGCTTTTCCACTTTTTTAATTTTAGTCAGTGTGTAGTGTGTATGTTTGGGCATTAAAAAGATCTAGAAAGTTACAAATCTCAAAGTCCACTCCAAAGGGAGATATTTCGTTTTTAAAAAATCCCTTTTGAAGAACTACAACGAACTGCTCGTTTGGACTACAGCGTTTGTTTTCCAGGCTTTGTGATGTCACAAAGGGGCTCATTGGAATATCATTACAAATAATTACCGCCTACAGAAATTCGAATGGTTGGGGGGTGGGGAGGGGCGAGGTTGTGGTTAGAACGCTTGCATCAGACGAGACGACGAAGAAGAAGTGCTGCTGCAGAGTGGACATTACCGGATATTCCTCCATGATTCCAGTTTGAAGGGAGCGTATATGTTCCATACAAAGGGCATTTAAGTGTGCGAGACGTGAATTTAAATTGTATTTATTTATAGAGGTATATTATGTCCCACTTCACACTTCTCTAGTAAGTTTCGTTTGTGTGTGAAGACGCTGCAGG